TACAGAATAATAAAGTGAAATAGATTTGTGGTGTCTCCCTACTCGTTATTCATGCATAGTTTTCAAAAAAATGAACTTGGAAATTAATTAATGAGATGAATATGAAGTGGAGAACCACAGCTCACCAGTTTTCTATTCACTGTATTCATGGATTCAGCAATAAAGTTGCTGTGTTGGCTAATGTAAAGCCATGTGCACTGCAGGGCCCTTAAACAGACATATGCAAAGCGCTATTTGCTCGACTTTATACCTTGGTCAGTTTAACTCACCTGCTTTTACAGCGAAAGAAACAGCCGTCCTTTAAATGTAGCTTTATCTTAATAATATAAATTGAGATGGGTGTAAACGGTGATACTGATTTCATTTTTCATGGATAGGAATCATGTGTTTTTTGATTTTAAAAAAAAGGGGAAAAAAAGCTTTCATTTGTTTTAGATCATCTATTGAAGGCTCTAGTAACCAGAATCTGATTAAACACTATATTAAAATGACCACTGGGCAGTTACTCCTCCACAAGCAGAAATCAGCAGATTGCGTATGATATCATCAACGATGGAAACGTGAAAACCATGTGCTAATTTTTCTTCTGTCGCCTCTCAGCTCCTGCCAACAGGAGAAGCATATAGGTTCCTGAGCTTTCTTTGGGTTGCGTACGGGAGAAGAGAACCTCTATACTACCGGACAGCACTCACCTCTGTCCCGGGGGCTCCGCGAATTTACCGAATCCCGTCGCCCCCTTCCCCCTCGGCGTGGTCGTGCGTGCTGCTCCAGTTTTGCGGTGCACCGTCCCTTTAATCCATCTCCAGAGTCACCCCGAAATCCAAAACCTTCACTAATATTTAGAGAGAGCTCCGCCGTGAGGCTATTCTGGGATCATAGGAGGTTGGAGGAATGATGGAAGTAAGTGAGGAGACCTACAGAGAAGGAGCAGGGATGGCGAAAGAGAAGAGAGAGAGAGAGAGAGGAGGGTTGCTGATGGTGGAAAGTCCAATTTGCCGCACTTGCTGGTAACGCGTTCCTTTCCTTTAAATTTCCTGGCTTTGAATAAAGTGAGAGATTCACGTGCGTCCACCCGGTTCCTCCCCTTTATTTGCCCATACAGGTTCCCCCTTTCCTACAAAATACAAAACAGTAACAAGTAAGAAATTCCCCCCCAAAATTAAAAAAATTAAATCTGATTTTAAATGCACAGCATCCGTCACACGGTTTTCGGGTTACGCAGTCAGCCTCACAGAGCGCACATACACACACAAAGGCGTGGGGGGAGAGCAGGGGTGTGGAGGAGGGGAGGTGGGGGTACAGGGGGAGGAGAATCATGGTGTGTGCGCTTACCATGGGGGGAGGAGACAGTCTGGTCCACACACTTGCTTCTATCTCCGCTGAATTCCTGTTACGGGGCTACCGCCGTGAGGCGACCAAGACAAAGGGGTATATTTTGGTATGTGTACGTGTGCAGTGTGTGAGAGGAGCACACGAAACTTGCGCATGTGTGCGTAAAAGTGAGGGGGCGGTTTGGGAGATAACCTCTAATCTATTAGAACGAGAACGTTTCACAAACAAATATGATTAAGGCTCAGCATTAGCTACGCCCCGCGCTTCTGTAAATGCCATCAGAGTCATTCGTTGGCCCTGAGATTTTTCGGTCATCGCCCAAGGATTGTGGCTCAGTTGTGTCCGCCTTTGTTTACTCTAAAGGGTGTGGCAGGCGGATGACCACCGTGGTGCATTTAAATTCCCCTGAAGGAACCGGTGCGGTGAGGACCGTGAACACGCGCTCACGCACTTTGTGATAGCTCTACCGACACCTCTGGTTTACTGACTCATCATGAATGACATTGCGGCAATTAACATCAAAGACTCGGCTGTGCGCACACACGTGCGTGCATGTGTTGTGTCGGTGGCACACGTGCTTGCAAAAGATGCTCTCTAAGAGATCTGTAGTCTTCTGCTCTCACGGTTATCAGTTCTCAGTGGAAGTGAAAACTGAACTTAACCATCCACACCCACAGCACCCACACACCTTTCCTAATTTAAAGAAAAAAAATATTTTATTCCACGTCTGGCAGGTCAATAATTAAGTGTGATACATTCAGGGACACTGGCATCCCATATGTTAATATCGTGGCAGACTAATTTGAGTAGGTTCAGTTCAGGAAGTCTCCTGCTGACCAGCCTCCAGTGGCTTTACACTCATTCAGATATTTGCACCCCCTCCACTCACCCCTTCTCTCTCAATCTCTGTCATTTGGCTGTGTGACACTGCTTGGTGCTAGATGAATGGGGGCGCCCCATTTAGTGTTTATCCTGTCTCCAGTTGCCAGGGAGTTTCTCTGGTTCTCATGGGGTACTCCCCCGTCTCCGCCTCCATCCCCTGCGCCCCTCCTGTTCCCCCCTGCCCTGCCTGAAGCCCCCACCTAAACAGCATCGCACACAAACCATGCAACCAACCCACCAATAATACCCAAGGGCTGGTCACAGCTGGCAGGAGCTAATAAACTCATCACTCACACTCTCTGGCTCCTATTTACCCACTACACAAAGCACTAAAAGGAGGGGGGTGGAGGTGCTTGAACGCTCTTTTCTGCTTCCCACAGACACTTACACTTTTCTCAAGGTGGTGAATTTTGATAATTATGAACACAGTTATAGAATTTGTGAAAGCCACACATCACCACAATTGCATTTTCTCTAGTGGAGTTAGTGCGCTATCAGCACTCTTTACCATTTACCCCAGTTGGATGGTAATTGATTGCTGGAGGGGATGTACAATGGGGATTCTTAAGTTTGATTAAAATTTTCCTCGACTGGTGTTCACACATGTGACCCAATTATTTCGTCTGAGCGAAAGGGCAACCATCTCTGTTCAGATACAAACATATATGTGCACATTCAGACCCAGACTTGCAGCGCATGTTTACATGGCTAATGCATGCACAGAGCTTCTTGCAGTGCGCACATAGCATACACATGTTACAGTAAATGCAGACTTTCATGTTGATCAAGTGCACATGAAAGATATTAATTCTATCATTGCATGCCAGCACATTTACCCATCCATCCATGCAAACCCCAACTTTACAACTCGATTCTGATTGATTTTTTTAAACAACCTATTCAGCTTACCCTGCGTGCTTTGAAGACACCTGACACAGAGGCCATGCTTATTTTATTATAAGGGAGAATCCAACCATGTGAGTGCAGAAAATGAAAGATTGATCTTCACTTTATCCAGCGTGGTTGACGTAGTGGAACTAAATCAGCGCCTGCCCCCATCCATCTATCTATCATCTCCTTCAACCAACACACAAGCTGTTATTGCTCTTCTGTGTTACACAGTTGTGGTATCAATATCAGCTTTGGCTTCACTAAGTGTCAGGTTTCATATAAGCACTCAATTTTCAGTCTCAAATAGCAAATGGGATTTTAAAAGAATATTAATATAGCTCTGATTGTGTTCCCTTGTAATTTGAAAGACAATCAATAGAGAAATCTGAAACAGTGATTTGTTTTGGCATGTTATGTAGGCCGGCACTTCATGGGGTGGTTGATGTTTGGCTGACTAGCAAATGAACATGGGAATGCAGAGATAATCACATAATATAGGATGCACTCTCACTGAAGGTGGCTTTTCTTTTCCCAAAAGTAAATAAGTGCATGTCTCTGTCACACTGTCAACATAATGTCCTCAGTGGTAAGTCATTCTGTGCAGGTAATGCCACTCCACAGTCTATGCTCTTGTGCTTAGGGACAGCTTCAAGTGCCACTGTGTGGCTAAGAGCTGTCATTACATGACAAGTTAAACAAAGCCATTATACCCCGAGGTGAAGTAGTGCTTAAACCTTTACTTGAGTAGCCTCAGGAACCCTGGCATTTGTTTGACAAGTCTATTAGGTTGTGATACCATTGATTCTGTGCTCCTTTTGTGTTTCCAGACTGCACTTTACTTTGATAGGGCTCGTGGCAGATAAGAGGAGGATTTCACTGTGTTATTGGCTCCAGCATGTTAAAATGTGATAAGGATATTGATTGAGGGCTTACAAAGTGTTCACATTTTATCAACATTTCGACAAGCCAAAAATCATAATCACCCACAATTCTCACACAAATCAAATGCTTAAGTGCTCCATGGTAATAATTTGCTATAGCAGAGGCACAGTGGTTAGGATTTGTTCAGTTAGTTTGATAGAACAGATATATTCTGCAGCTTGACTTTGACTCTGCAGTTCTATGCTGTCAGTGTTCGTTCTTCTTAATGCATTTGTTGTTGTGACTAAAATGACCTTCTGCTACTAACATTTTAACAGTTCTGTCAAGAGACCAGATACACCTCAAAACGTCATTGTTTAATGGAGGACTGGGAACACTGTGGCACATTAAAAGGAAAGAGTGCAGGTTTACTGCTTTGTTTACCACAGTGGCAGACAGCCCAGACTATCAGTACAGAAAGAAAGATGGATCTCCTGACCATTAAACTAAAGGGTATAAAAAGTCCTCTGAGATAAAAATTTTGGTCAGTAAAAACTGTCCAAAAAGTAACAATATATATAGGATTCTACTTATTTTTTGTCCATAAATGATGCCAAACAGACCAACAATCCTTTAAGAACCTGCTAATCATTTACTGGGTCATGCTTACTCACACTGGATAGTTGTTCTAAAATAAAACGAATTGGTAGGAAACACATGTTGAGTCTGATGTGCTGCTATGCTCTTACACCTTTAGAGAAAATGCTGTTTCCTGATTACAAAGTTTTTTTTTATTAACATTTTTGGTTCTGAACTTTTTAATCGCTTTGACACTTGTGACAGGACGAAGCAGCTTTATCTGTAAAAAGCATTAAATAATAAAAACAGTTAAATACGGCTGACTAAGTTCAAATCCATTAAAGCAACTTGCTTACAGTGTTTACTGCTGTTTCCTGTCCTTAAATAATAAGAAAAGCTCGACATTTTTTGCTATCCTTTGTTTCCATTCAAAATATGAAATAATGCCAGAAAAATAAGTATATAAATGTTTATTTCAAAACATGAGGATGACCATTTATGGTAAAATTCAATAATATGCCCTATATAATTTTTATGACGGGTAACTTTAAAAGTATTTCTTTAAATATCCAGTACAACAAGCTCTTTCTCAATAAAGATTTAAAATGTTTTTTTTTCCTCATAGACACCATGGGATGTGAACACAACCACTTCACACCACACCAGATTTTGAAAAATTTAAATGTACATCAGTACCATCATCAGCCATGTTAACTTTCACTGCTATCAATTTTTTCTTAAACTTGCTGTCACATCCCCAGTGCTTGCTTAAAGAACTGAGAGACACACAAGACTGACTATCCCAATACAGTTAGGTGTCGTTACATTGTATAGTGCTGGAGCGAGTTCGTAAAACCTTATTTCCCAGATCCTCTGCTCTCCATGAGAACTGCATGGCAATATTCAGTTTCTGTCTGCCATTGTTTCTTCAGAAGTTAATTGCTTAAATTCATCTGTTTGTCATTTTGCTGGAATAAAACCTGAATCCACACACTCGCCAGTGTCCATAGCCGCAGGAAGCAGGGATTCAGTGCCATCCAGTGGTGGACTGAGTAACTGAAAGCGAGTCCCACATGCAGCCAGTTTCTGAAGAACCTCAGATCTTCGTAGCTCCCAATGGCTGATTTAAAGCATGGAACTTAATTTACGTTATAGAAAAAAAGTGGAGAAGAAAATGTGTAAAAGCATACATCTATTTCAAAGATATGTTAAAAAGATGAAATCTCACCTATCAGATCTGCAGGTACTGAGTAAATTGCAATCCACACTCAGTGTTTTTTACATGATTGTTTTAGTAATGAAAAATAGTGGATACATTTATTCCAAACCCATACCCCAGACACACGATTCAGAAAATTAAAGGGGTTTTTGATTTAGTATTGCACTTTTATAAAGGTGGTGTAGTCACGTGAGGCAGCTTATAAAAAAAGATGCTAAAAACTCAGCAGAGGCTGAGATGAACAGCTCTAGCATTGGCCAAACTAGAAAAACACAACACTAGAACCCGCATTGTCCTGACTGCATCTTTTTAATAGACCTTCCGTGGCCTTAAGAGCTAATATTTGTGGTACAAGCTTTGCTGAAGCTGAAATCCCTTATGTCTTTTAATCACTGGGTCAGGGGAAAGTCACCTTTTTATAACTAAACTTTTCAGGATAGTTGGGTTTAATGGCTTTAAACTATTTTACTCTGCAGACTTTCAAATTATTGCAAATTCAAAAACAGTTTGTTTTTTTAAAGTTACTAGCAGAGGAGAATTACCATCTCACAAAGTGACGTATTGTAACAGGAGAGAAGCATATAAAAATATCCAAAAAGAGTATTTGACTCGTTGGGTATATCTACTGCAGAACAACATAAGCAAAGATGCAAAGCGTCAATGCACGTAAGGCTTGCTTCAGTTTCATGGGCTCTGGATTGTTGCCCCAAAAGAGAATTGTTTTGGGATTGTGCAACACTTTTATTTTCATCATTCATAATTTTAGGAAATTATTATATTGGTTAATTGAAATATGCTAATTTGTTTCTTTTTCTTATCCTATGTATTGGATGTGTATGTGGATTCATTCAATTTAGTTAACGTTAATTGTGATTTTTCTGTGCTTTTGCAATTATCCATATGTGCTTGTAGGCCTTTTCAGCCAGCACAACACACCACATTTTTGATTTATTATAGTTCCTACAGCGATTCCTCATGTGACCTACTGTTTTCCACAGTAAGCACCGTGGTTTCTGGATTCCCATTTCAGTTTGTCGGATCTGGTATGTCGGGATATTAATGGGGTTATGTTCTGCTTTTTATTTAAATATTACATTGCTTAATTAATATTTCATGGATGACATCAGCTCTTCACTTGCAGAAAAATATTTTTAGTTGCATTTTTAAGTAAGTGTGGAAATAATTCTCAGCATGAAAATTATTAGGTTGCAGTAAGTAACATTGTGAGTAAACACGTACTGTTATAGTTCAGCAAACGCCACATAAATGTAACCCATACCAATAAAGCCATCTTCCCGCGGCTATGCAAGCAATACCTCACTAACCCTGTTGCAGTCCTACAGGTCAGGAGTTAATCAAGTCTCACTGCTTACAGTCGACTGGTTAGCATTTGTCCTCTCCAAAGTGTTCAGTGCATGTGATAGGTTAGCCTTCTGTCTGTCCAGGCTAGAAGTATTCCGTGTTTGGATAGTTGTATTTCCAGCACCTTGTTGGTTGGCTCGACTTCGCTCCAAACTAGTGGACGTGCGCGACTGGACAGTCCTTTCTCCTGTCAAAGTATTAACAGGGCGCACTTGGTTGGCTCTGCCTCTGTCCAAACTGTTAACTGTGTTTAACTGGCTGCTTCTCCCATGCTCCACAGTCCCAGGCCCACCTGACTGGTTAGCCCGCCCAGTCTGCTGATTATTCAGGGTTTGCAGCTGGCTGGTCCTGTCTCTCTCAGGGAGCCTGGGCTGAGTGGAGCTACTTCTGTCTGTATTAATAGTTTGTATCCTCTGTCTGTCCCTGTCCCTATCAAGACTAGTATCCCTGCGTACCAGTCCACTCCTCTCTCTCTCCAGACTGCTCTGGATCTCAGCTCTCCTAGCCAGAGCCTCTCTCAGCTGGGTGCGGAATATCTCGATCTTTGCTTGCAACTCCTGGAGCTCCCCTTCCCATAAGTTCGTCTGAGCACCTCTGGTTCCCATGGGAGACAGCACCAAACCTGTGGAAGCCAGAGTCGAGACAGGGCCCCCGTTGACATGGAGGGTAATCTGTGGAGGAGAAGTAAAACTCCCCAGGTTGCCAAGCCCCAACCCTCCGAGGCCAAGTCCAGGACGGCCAACCATCCCAGGCCTGCCGCGCACTGAGGCGGTGTGTGTGCGCAGGCGGTAGCTGTGAAGCGTTTCAAGGTCAAAGTGCACACGTTTCTCCTTGGGTTCATTGGATGGTGAGGAGTTGCCCGTGTCCCCAGCTGACGTGGGAGGGGATGGTGGAGGAGGCTGATGCTGTTTCCTGTGTAGGGTGCAGTTCTCCGAGATACAAGAGGGGCTGGTGAAAGAGAGAAAGATCACAGCAAAGGGAATACACAGAATCAGATATGCTGTACTGCAATGCAAGGACTTTTATATATAATGTAGGATAATTATACCCAGTAAACCAAATGTAGAGTGTAGTGATATTAACTGACTAAACACTACATCTTTTGTCTCAATTATAATTTATCTGTTACGGCTTCTTTTTTAAATTAAATAAAAGATTTAAACCCATTACAGGACTTTCACAAAAAAATATCTCCTTCACAATTAATTTTGTTATCAAGTCATAGAAATGTAATAATCTGCCACAGTAGCACGAAGGGTCTAACCTGCTTCTAATATGATTATTTAAGAAAAAAAATAGTTTGACGTTTGGGCAAAATATGCTTATTCATTTTCTAGCAGAGGGTTAGATGATGAGATTGATAAGACTCTAGACTGTACATATGAAATTGTCAGCAGCTGCCAAGCTCAGATTAAACAAGATATAACGGCTTTAATTACTGAGCTTTGCTGAGAGGTGCTGGTAAGTAGATTTTATTGTCCATTTCCAGTCTTTATGGCTTTATTTTTAGCTTGCTGCTTCATATTATTGTTATTAACCAACTTAAAGCAAGAAAACAAATAAACATTTGCCTCCCAAAAACAAAAAGTCACGCTCTCTTTTTTTATTTTTATGAAGTAAAATAATCAGTTTTTGCGCTTCCAACAACAAAGTGACATCTGTTAAACACACAAACAGAAGAAAATAGACAACATAGTGGTGCATTAATCACTTAGTGAATTCATTACTTTTGATCAAGGCCGGCCATTTCCTTTCCAACATCCTCATATGTGGTGTGCAGGGCTCTGTGAATTTTCTGCAAGCAGAGAAGATGATTAGTAACATGGAATCTGTTAAGACACCATCAGATTTGAAATAAATCAGGAGAGATGAATTTGCAAGGGTTATTATTCTATCCAGCTGCAGAGAACATCTGTGACAGCCGTTCCTGCTATAGTGCACTTTTGAATAATTTACTCTAATAATTGCAATTCAGTGAGAGACGGTTCCTTTCTGCTTAAAGTTAACGCGTCAGTTGCTTGAGGCCTTTTTCATTTAAGTATCAAAATGCTTAGGTTAGCATGATCAAAAAAACAACTTTAAAGTGTGACTATGCTTTAATATTTCCTGCGGGAAATGAGGCTTATTCTAAAGATAAGAATAATATTGAGGGTCTGACACAGATGCCAACGCCTCATAGCGGAGCTTCTTTTGTGATGAATGCTAGAGGCTGCCCGCGAGTGGTTGCCCTTTTAGAGAGATGTAGCAAACGAATATGAGCAATATGAGCAGTCTTGATATTTACACTGCTAGTTCCATTATTCACTCAAAAAATGTTGCCACTGGCACCTCATTTGGTAATGGCCAGAGCCTCATAAAAAAAACAAAATATGACCTTTAAATATTCAATTTGTTGTTTCTTTGGTGGATGTTGTCATAAACACACATTTGCTGTCAGAAACTTCCTGCAATTCACATTTATACACTGACTTTGTGAAGAAAATATAACATATTTGAATTTTATGTAAAATAACGAATATTTAAAATTATTTTGCAGATGAAATCTGTATAAACAGCTTCATATAACGATCTGTCTCTTCATCTGTCTGAGAAAAGGCTAAACAAACAAAGGCACGAATGCATAATGTGTCTTTATAAATCAATTAATAAAACACTGCCAGTGGTAAGATTTATTAACTTTTTACTTACAAATTGACTATTCAAGAACCTAATTTGTATTAATTAATGTAATTAACTTGATGGAAAGACATGTTTAATTGAATATGTCTGCTATCACAGACAATTCAGCTTTAGGAACATTTAGTCTAATTGTTGACTTTTTAATTTGTAACCAGTAGAGGGCGTTGGTTATCTGCAAGAAAAGTGTGAGCTCCAGGGGGTAAGGATGTCTCACCAACAGCAATATACATATGAGCACACATGCATATAGCCTTTGACTGTGCTCCTATGCGTGTCTTTGGTGTGCACGAGAGATCATGTGAGTTTTAAATGTCTGAGCATAACTCTTTGTGCTCAAGTGCATGGCATGTCTTGCTAGCATGAAAGATGGTGTGGCCTTATGTTTACTCACCTGGCTGGTGTGCAGCCAGTACTGAAGTGTGTGGCTACGCCGGAGGCGAGGGATGACCAGGTGATAGAAAGTGTGTTCACCTGCCAAGGTCAGCAAGGCTCCACCTACCCCCATGCATAACAACACGAACAGGCCTGAGAAATGCTGGATTCCCATCTGTAGAGTCTGAGGGGGCGGTGACAGAAAGAGAGCATGAAAGAGAGAGAGTGAGGGAGAAGTTGGGGGAGTGACACAGATTACTGAAGACCTAAGCCGACAGAGAGGAAAATACAGAGATTGATGATTTATATTTACATAATTACCATTTAGGCCACTTTTTGTAAACGAGCACTTGATATTCTGCTGTTGTGTATCTAGTTTGGCCGTGTAAGCCCATAAGAATATTAGTCAAGAGAAGAGGACAACAGCGTAAAAGACATTTTTGGAAAGAAAAGGGTGCAGAGCAGCGCGGCAGCAGAGAAAACGGGGGAGGCATAAAAGAGAGTAATAGGAAGAAACAGCAGTTAGTACAGAGATGGTAAAAAGAGACGATGGTTAATTGAAGAGCAGCTTTTCCCTATTTGATTTGCCTAAACCCACCCTGACATAATGTCTATCTCGTATGAGGCATTCATCGGCCTGGAGGAAGTGGAAGAGGCAGGGACAAGAGCAATGCTCTCTAATCATGTTTCCTCCACCCGACTCATTTCTGCACTGTCTCCGATGGCAATTAGCCCCATGCTGACACCACAAATTCATCAGTGACAACACTGACCTCCTTTTGCTCCTAATCCAGAGGGCAGGTTCACACCAACGCCTACATTGTTAGAAAGTAGCCAGCTCTCTGCGCTTCAAATGGGATGAACAGTAATAGCTTTCCGATGCAGGGTGAAGTTAAGGTTTTCGTTTCACTGGAGAAACCTATGACTGCATAATTGCATTTGTTGCTATATTATGGTTTAACTTTGAAGTGGGATTTAAAAGAGATGGCCAAAGGGAGTTGAATAGCTTCTCGATTCGCAAACAAGAGATGTAGATACGGACATTTTGCTCTGTCTAGAGATTTCCAGTCCTTTAAAAGGAGTGCAAGTAAAAGGGAGGGCAAGAACTCAGAGTACTGTAGCACCCACACGATACAAATAAGAATCGACACTCAGACAGTGCGTGCCTGTAACTCTGGTTAAGGTCAGTAAATAGGCCCGAGTTTATGTGATTGTATGTCTTTGTTTGTGTGTGTGTGTGTGTGAAATTGTCTGTCAGTGTATGTGTGCCTAGCTGGCAGGCAATCCAGTCTGTGTCCCAAAGGGAGACTCATTTATAGAAGTACAGCAGCAGAAGGCTTTGCTTAACACACAACACACGTATACAATTCATGAACACACACTCCCACGGATGACTTACCTCAGTGACTGCAAAGACTCTCTTTCCGCAGGGTACAACCTTATACCATTTGTCGTGTAGCATGTCCATAAAACCGTCAGACTTGTAGCGACTGACGAACTCTGACACATTACGGGTTAGAGGAGAACCCTGGGGAAGGCCAATACCATAGCCTGAAAGAGGACACAGACACAGATGTAAATACGTGTGCTAAAGGTAACCAACCTGAGAGCTACAGTCATGCCTCAGGAAGATAGTGTCTAACTCGGTGTTTTTTTTTTTGCAGTAAAACCAAAGTCAGACAGTTGCACTTTGCCAAAGGGCAGATGGCCTCTGGAAAAAGAAGATTTACGGTTTACAGTCTTCAGATTGAATCATAAATAAACTGTTTTCTGGCAAAGTATTTCCACCTATAGAGTGCAAATACAGTGTCCCAAGATTCACCTGGACAACAGCTCTGTATAAAAGTGGAAACCCCCCCCAGCTAAAGCTGTTGGAGGTTGTATTACAGAACACACAGTGGATCAACTTTAAGTATTGCGTTGTTTGAAGCTTCTTTCGATATTACCCAAGAAGTTTATAACTACAAACTCTAATCAGATCTAAAGCATAGAAAAGATTAGATGTTATTCCCAGAGGTATAGCAATAGGTGATCAAGACACACAACCAAGTGGTCTTTCATGACCCGTGTGACCTTCAGGAAAATGTAGCAGTCGTTCTTCATTAGTCTTTCCTTTTTAAAGTTCCCATTCAATTAATTTTCCCTACTAGTGCTTGTTTTAGATGCAGAAAGAGCTGCCAACCATCAGGGTTTCAAATAATTATTCTTAAATGTTCTAATTTAATATCATCCCCGCTGAGACACGATTTAGTCTTTTCTACTCTTTTATGTTTGTTTGGTTTCAGACTTCAGGGTCAGAGTGTAACAAGCTGGCAGCTCTGTCTGATATCAGTCTGCTTCTGTGTCTTGAGTTTGGGGAAGAAAATTGCTTAAATGCGCATAGATGATTAATGATTTTATCTCAGTAACTTAGATGTGTTTCAGAAAGATTTCCGCATATGTTCAAAACTTCCTGTGATTTCGAAACATGTCAAACGCATCAGTGATGAGCTTATGGAGCGAGAATCGAGGCTGATTTAAGATAAAATTATTTTCTTCTTATTCTGAGAGTAGTTAGTAAACTGGGAACAACCTTTCTAAACTCTCAGCAGTGCCTTAGAACTTGGTTTTCAGACATTTTGAGAAAGAAAAAACATCCTCGTGTTGGAACTCTTCCTCCTTTTCCCATCTGGCGGAGCTGTATTAACTCATAATTCATAATCATATTTTGGTGGATTTAACAAATACCCAGCCTTATTAGAGGCTTCTTCAATGAGTAATGTTGTGGTGTTTCTTTCTTTTCATGTTTTTATCAGGAGGATGAATGCACGTGTTCTGTCCCCTTCTTTGCTGCTGAAATAAATATACCTGTGTGACATGGTATGAGATTTTTCTATGTAACAAAGTGGTTCTGGTGACAAACCCTAACAACATGAGAGTGGAAAGGAAAGAAATTTAAGATTATATCTCCACAGTCTACTTTACTTGCTTACACAGTCTTCATCAGTCTTGTAAGTCGAAAGCTACGTTGCTGGAGAGAAAATGTGCTTCTCGCCAACATAACTCAGAATGGAGTTTGCAGCTGTTTGGAAAGTCAGTTTTAGAAACATGTATGATTCTTGAATTTTTAATTCTATTTATGATAATGAAAATAGTTAGGTCTGCCTCTTGAGACCTTATAAGGCATTCTAGACAAATTGTATATGTCACATCTGATACTCATTTCCATTCCAAATGCTCCAACTCCACCCCATTCTCTGTGAGTCAGGCCATTTTAAGGCTGATATCAAATAGTCTGATCCCAGCTTAAGGAATGGAGTGGGATCAAATCTGACTCCACCCTTTAGAGTTCCTTCAGTGGCAAGTATGCAAATATACATATTTTACCTGACTGCTTCTTATGTTGGTTAGATTCCCTTTGGTTACAGTCACATGGCAGTGCTCAGACCGTGGTGATGAATTATTGTCTTGTAAATTACTTTTATGTAAATGAAATTCTCTTTATGAGGTCTTGGTCCAACACAACATCTTGGACTTCTGGTTCTGCTGTGAGGAGTAAATGTAGTAGATGTGAAAATGTCAAAATTAACTTCTTGTGTTATTATTCTTCACTTGTGCATCAAACTCCCTTCTCTTGCCCCTCTAAATGAATGTTAATGGTGTCTTTTTTCCATTTCATTTCTGCTTTAGCCTTTTCTCCCTTAAATTTCACTACATTATGCTCCACTGTAGAAATAAGATTTATAACACTATAGCATATTACTTTAGAGGTTTTTATAGGTTTTACGCCATTTGCATATCCTGTTTGAAATATATTTTAAAGTGAGCACAATCTTTCTAAATCTGGAACTAGACTTACAGATTCTGTAAAAAATAAAACACCTTCCTCTCACCAAGCCTCACCAGAGCTACTAGCTGCAAAACACTTTTCAAAGCCTGATGCTGATCATCCACTCTGGGCTCACTTCACATTCACACCCTCCAGTTACAGATACAAGACCTTATTTTGTTGAAAGGCCAAACAAAGGTTGGTTCCACTCCATGTGCACAGGAAATTGATACCATACTGATATTATAGCCCTTTTATGAATCCCGTTCTTCTGGTGACACTAAAAAAGAAAGAAAGCTACCTTAGCTGCTCCCTTATTCACGAGGGGTCGCCACAGCGGGTAGCTCTGATGATAGTGTTCCTTTCTAATTATGTAAGTGTAGCTTTCTGTCGGATGTAGTTATCGCATCACTTTCTTGACAGTATTAATAAGTACTTTTCACTTTCACATCATGGATGGTGAAGAAAAAACATCTTGAAGTGAAAAAAATACAGAATAAATAAAAGTATGTCTTTTTTTTATCTGATTAAATATACAAAATGTCAAAATCAGGTATAGTTTTAGACTGTTTTTTCATACACTTCTGTGGAAGACTCTTAAGTCATCCTTCATGTCTTTATATTTTGCTAACAAGGAGCCAGAATATATATTTTTAAACTGGTGTAGAACATATTTCTTCAGGTTTTCTTTGACTCATTTTCACTCCAACCCTTGTATCTGGACATTTTCAGATGAATTTTGTTTGATTGTTAAGCCACTTAACACTGACTTACAAATCATTCAAGCATAAAAGGAAATTGGACAAATGGAGGAAAAAAAAGGAGGTAACTACAACACATGAATACTATCTGAAAGTCATTTCCTCAAGAAATAGGAAAAATTCCAGTAAAGAACTGACTGATGCATCTGGTTAATCAGTTGATCCATGTACTGTCTGTAAAAGCCTCTCCAGAAATGGTCTCAGTGGAAGGGAGGCTGTGAAGAAGACATTCTTAAGAAATGGAAACAGGGAAAAAAGAAATTTGAAATCTCTGGTTTAGATCATTGTCAATATGATTGCAGGAGGTCAGGAAAGAGGTAAAACATGGAGCAGCTTCCGTTATGATTTGGGGTAAAATTTCAGCCAGTGGCAAGGCTGTGGGAAGTAGGGGTGCTGGGGATGCATCATGCCAAATGCAAAAAATAGATACATAAAGGTTTTGACTGCTGTGTCTTAAGATACCTTATAGTTGGAAGATACTATGAGGTTTCTAGTACACTTCACCCCCAGCTGTGCTCATGCACACACACGCATGAGTGTGCATAACACCCTCAATTCCAAGGACTTTTCCACAGCTCTGGCCAGTGGAGATCTTGTCAAAACTGATGGAATTATGAACAAAAAAAAGTTCAGTCAGATTTTGATCCATCATGCACTAGTATCTGAAAAGAACTTGACTGGCAACGGCTTAATTTTTTCAGCATGTCAATGATCTCACTGTCATTGCAGTAAAAGCATACCTGGCTAGAAAAACACATAATGGAACACTATCAGTCATAGACTGGCCTCCTTGGAGCCCAGCCCTCAACAGTATTAAAGCAGCGTGGGATCATCTTGACAGAGAATTAAAAAAAAAAGGCAGCTGACATCCAAAGAAGAGCGTGAATGTCCTTCAAGAAGCCTGGGGAACTATTCCTGAGGACTACCTAAAGATATGACAAGCTGGCCTGAGAGAGTTCACGCTGTGTTGAAGAAGAAAGGTGGTCATACCAAATACTGACATCCAAGCTCATAAGAATTGCGCCAACTCTGTTTCTGCCTTATATACTGATATACTATGTTTCCACGTATTTTTGCACACTTCATCACCATTTCTTTTTCCCTAGCAAAATCATAAGAATTGAGGGGTAGTCTGAGACCTTTGTATAGTACAAATCTTTTGCCCATTACATGCTATATACTGATGCAGTCATTGTTATGTTCCAGAATGCTGCCAAAACAAAGTTGAAATGTTCTGTAGAATATGAAAACAATAGATGCAATCATTTGCAAATAATTTGCACCTTATCTTTAGTTAATTTAGTTTCAAATATTGTTTCAAATATTGAAACAAAAGAAATTCATTTTGTTCATTTTATTTAATAAAAAAAAGAAGAAGCTAATTTTAAATTTGACAGTACCAACATTCATGTACGCTGATGCTGGTGGAGTCCAAAGGTGATCCTCAGCCACACCATGTTTTCATGTCTATGAATTGTAAATTGTTTGGGGTGAATGACTCACCGAATGGTTGGTCTGCACCATAGTCTGCCTCTGCCATTTGAATCCATCTGCTCAGTGGTCATTCATCACCCAGTGATTTCCACTTCAGAATGGTGCCTGTTTTAAATGCAGTGCTGCCTCAGAGTTCGAAGATCACGGCCATTCATTACTAGTTTCAGCCTTATCCCTTTCAGCCTTATTTCTGGATTCTCTGAATTTTTAAATACTATTTACCACAGATGCCAAAATCCTATTTTGTCAAGTATTTTCCCATGCACCGTTTCAATAGTCATGTCCTAGATAGAATAGAAAGTAATATCCTCTGTTTTTCTTTTTATGCCAAATCATCTTAATTATCTAATTAAAGTTACCGTGTGTAAAAATGTCACCACTAGATGTCAATAGATTGCAGATTGGTGTTAACTGAGTTCTGTTTTCTTACCTTGCCCAATTCGAGTGCATTATCCCAGCTATGGTGGCTCCTATTAGGACAAACTTAG